GACGAAAAGAGCATTATACAAGCATCTATATCATTTCCGTGAAAACACCATCCTCATTCGCCGACCAACGCCATAAAAGACCTTCAACTTGCAGCTGCCATAAGTACCTAAAAGACACTCGTCATGATTTACTGATTACTGCCGGGGTTTGGAATAAGCAGACTGGACTAGGCGACTTCCAAAAGCCGCCTTATTGGCCGATGTGGGCTTCGTTCTCCCTGCGACAATGGTGGGGAATACTGCGCTTTCCTGACTAAGACTAGCTCTTTGTCAGCAACACTTTCTTCCGGCATAGTCACAAACATGCCGACCCGGTATTCAAACGGCGGTCATGTGGTCAGTCAGGTTAATTTTACTCTAGTCATTCCGAAGTTTACCAGCTGGGTCCACGATAGTGGGTCGTTTTTTGGCACCGAAATAGCAACACTAAGCCCACGTTTGAAAGTTCAACTCTCGTCCGTAATCGAATTGTCACGTGCAAGGGGCCTTGATGTCGCAATTCTACAACAACCCAGCATAACTGAAACTCTGAGTACAGAAATCCGGTCTCACTTTACGACCTGAGTCGAAGGAGGTAATAGCAAATAGTTATCATCGATGTCACCAGCCTACTGCCATGCCGGGCTCTGCTCGTGGGAGATGAGCAAAAACCTAAGGTGCTTCATTACCGCTGTCTGAGAACCATCGTTCGAATGAAATACACCGATTTAGTCTCGAATGAGGCGGTCCACACACGGGCACCAGCATCGCAAGGATATCTCAGGCAGTCCAAGAAAGACGACTTTGGTGGTTTGGGTACGTTCGCCACCCGCTCCACTGTTGCTGTCCCGGTCCGACGTCGTTTCCCACATGGGGGTCCGGAAAAGGAGGGCAATTAAAATCCTGGTCACACACAGCCCATAGAGACAGACGTGGTTGTCTGACCTCTATTCGGTCTCCGTTGCTAGAAGGTAAACTCGATCGATCCCTCTAGACCCATTGTCTCAGATCGTTAGGCATGGAGGCACAATCCACGGCATCGAGGCCTGCTAGGTTTTACATGACCACAGCTGTGCTAAGTAAAAATACCTAGTTGAGAGTAACGAGTCCTAGCTTAAGCCATTTAAAATTTATTTAGGTTTCAGCTGAGCCAGGTGGGTATTGCGAACGCCACCAACCGTCTACGTATGGTCTAACATTACCTACAGGCGGTATCGTTTCCGATTTTTGTCTGCGCTTAACCTTACGCCTGGATAATGCTGGGAAATTTCCAAGGTAGACCGCCAACTACAAAGGTGAACAGGCGAAAGATTGTACACTCCAAAAAACACCACTGGAAATCACATTTCAGCGCCGGCTGCTCGGAATTACCATGGAAAGGTGGCGTCAGTAGGAAGGCTATGCATTTTTGGGCCAACTTTCCTGTGAAATCTAATCCTTTCTGGGGGGAATTGATTATTGGAACTTGTACTTTTCTTATGTTTTCTACCCTCACTTAACGCACTAGTCCTTGCTAATAGAGGCCAAGAGACGATTTTCGGAAGTATTTACGAAGAAGACACGATTGCTCGAACAGGAACTTTATTAGCTTGATGTTTTGGATTCTCACTCGAACACATCCTCAAAGACAATGTCAAGCAAGTGTATGAGATCGCTCAGGTGTCGCAGTATTTATAGTGTAGTTGTTAAGTCACTACATGTCGCACGCATGTGAGGAGTGTATGTGTGATTTACTGGTAATACCCATCAGTCGACGACTGTTTATCCTGCCTGGAAGGGTGACGGCCCAGATAAATGTAGGGCCACGTGTAACCTTTCTGGGCTTAAAGGTCTGTAAGCGTCATATGTCAGGATCAGCAAACCATGGCCCTCACAGCCTGGTATGCACTGACAGCTCTCCAACACCTGGTTCCCTGCCGGTAGATGTACCTGCTCTCCTGCATGGTGTACGGGTCGTGACCACGGCTGCCCAGTCATCCTCCTTCTTTTGATCCGTAGTGGTGTTGTTGTTGTTGTTGATTAGAATCCTGGTCGATTGTGGTGTACAAGAGGGGGTGTGGAGTGGAGCCCCAACGTGCGAGCTCGGCCGCGCCACCCACCTGCGCTCTCTCCCATCTCCGATCTTCATGAATATGCCTTGACAGCGGGCTCAGGTGGGGAGAAGAAGAAGAAGAAGAAGAAGAAGAAGATGATGATGATGATGATGATGATGATGGTGGTGATGGTGATGGTGATGGTGATGATGATGATGAAAATGCGGTAGATGCAGCGCAAGCCTGCGCTCATTATAAGCTAAACAACACGCAAGTCACCGTGCCTGCCTTACTTTTCTGTAGAACACACGGTGGACATCGTCCGATGCGACGGTCGAACTGTCACATGCCCATCGCGGCCCGACTGGCCAGATGTTTCGGTATACATTTGTCATTCATTTACTATGCGCTTGCGTGTCTGTCAAAATTGTCGGCCTCCTCCGATATCGTCAACATAGGTAGGTCCGTCAACTTAAGGTTCCCCCATTGCGCAGAAACTCGAGTGCATGATACGCCTGTACTCTAAACCCAGGTATTCCCACTGCGCATGTTTCGAATTTTCAGTGCTAACTGACCAAAAAGATGGGCGAGGTAGAACACCGAAGTAGGTACCTTTGCGCTAAGTAGAGATTTTGCTGACAGTTTTCTCTCTTAGAGTGTCGACCAATCAGCCGGTTTAATGTCACGAAGTGCAAAACCTGACTTACATACCGGATTTGAGCTATCAATGCATTATTACGAATAATAAGGTTTGTAAAATACCAATTCTATAAATCTGTTCAATCTACAGCGTGAAGGTGGGAGTTACCAACGAACCTCTGCCCATTGGGTAACTTCTGGCTCCACTTTTTGATAATCCGGGATTTCTGTAGGCTCCATCAAACCATCTTCAACACGCTTGATGTGGGTTCCATCACACCATAAGGGCTGTGATTGAGCCTTCTACAATTTAGTAATTTGCTCTTCAAAGAAAAGAGTGCTAAGACTAATCTTCTTTAAAAATTATAGGGCACCGTAAACGTCGAGTGAATAGCTCAGAGGAAGTAACTATTTTGAGAACTGTTTCAAACCATCCCCATCATCATCTAGAAAGTAATTGCAGACTGGCCAATACTGGAGTGATCTAGCATGCCATCGTGGGACTAACTTCTTTTGAGGACCGCCTTTCACGAGCAGAGTTTCCCTCCGCAAATCATTATGTACCAAGTAAGGAGTGACTATGTAATACGGGAAATAACATTGCTGACTATTCGTAACAGTCTTCAGCATACAGCCGAAGCATATACTCGTCGACAGATTACGTGGCGGCGCGGAGACTTACTATATTCAGTCCTTAAAGGACTCAATTTTTCGACTATGGAAAAAGGCCTTTGCTCGCCTCACCAGGAGACCAACCGAGTTATTGCCCTGCAGTGTTGCCTCAACCAAATTACCGTCGCGTATTACAAATTCTACTTGCTGGCAGTCTGCGGGGGACATACAGTTGAATTCTCAACCACTTAGACCCCATGAATTCCACAGGGACGAAACGGGGTTCCCTCGGTCCGCATTCATACGACGCGCCCCTCTGCTCACGACTAAAATATCCTCTTAGTCTATTATCCCTAGACTACTCTCTTCGCCCTTACAAACTCCTTTCTCCCGATCTTTTTCGCTCACTCGCACACCGTTTAAAAGGGTTTTGAGCTCACCATCTACAATTCATTGGAGAGTATCCGGTGACCCGAGTTGGTCATCCTTCTATTCTGTGAGTTTTGGGCATCGAACCTGGTGAGTTTGTCTTCAGTAATCCCCGCGACATCGCTGCATTAGCTGTCATCAAACCCATTCCGCTATAACGACGACAGAAGTTCCGCTCGTCCTTCTTCAGTCGTGGACGGTCCCTAATTTCGCGGCTTTGGTAGGTAATCTTCTAGAGCCGTTAGGCAACCGAATTTTGACTGAGATTTGTTCTTCTATTGTCTTCTAATAAGATAATAGCCAGCCTCAGTTTAAACAGGACAAGGCGGCATATTATGAGATTGCGAGACCTCAGATAATGCATCAGGTCTTCGCGCGTGTTAGTGACTGCGGAAGTTGATAAGTACAAGCAGTCTGAAGAACAAAGAACACCATAGGTATAAAAAATGGCGCCTCTTTAAAATAGTCCCAGGTTTTTCGGATAAAATCCACAAAAAGATAGAGGGAAAATCTAAAAAAACGCGAAGATGCTACGGCGGCAAAGCCAAGGTGTAAAGCAGCAGGAATGTTAAAGTTGAACGAGGAGTGCAGGATTGTGATCTGCAAGTCTGGCTTCGGGAGTCAACTCCATGCGCCGGATGAAGAAGCATTTCAGACAGTAGTCGTTTTCTGTGTGCCGATGAAGAAATTGTTGACAGGGAAGATCAACAGTATATTATGTGGGTTGAGATGCCAGGAGAAATCGCGATTTTAGTCCAGACGGGATAGTATCCGTTGACCATCCACGCAAATTTTCACTGCTATGCCGGCAGACCCGAATCAGGACAGATCCGTTGTTTGGAGGATGACACAAAGTGTTCCCGGCAAAAGCAGGGTAGATGAGGCTTTTGCGTCCTAAGTCATATCACAATGGCTCCTTTCGGGATCCATTCGGGTATGTTGGCAGTCGTGCGGTTACATGGACAGTACTTGGGACGGATATGCTTTGACATCTTGCAAATAAGTACTTTGGCATTGAACAACCCAACCATGATTCTGATAATGAATCTAAGAAACAGTTTCAACGGGGTCGGACAAATTCCCCTTGGAATAGGCATACAATTATGCTTTGTCTTGTGAATTGTACCACGGGTTTGAGTTTATAAGGGATGTGTGAGCATTTAGACGGGTGATTCCAAGCAAGTGTAATCTGAGCCTTCGTTTTAGTAATTCGGACTTTAAAAAGATTTTGAGGAGTCAAGTAGTTCACGTTCAGGCCTAATAAGTTTAGTAAAGTATTCCGACCTTAGATTTGGTGAGTTAGTCTGGCTAATCAGAACTCAAGGGACTGGAAGATTTGGGCATTCTGTCGATCTTCTTAATCATATAGCCAATCGGGTCGGCCGGTTGCTCAACAATCATTCCAGCAATAAATTCCTAACAAAGGGTGACGTTTACATTTTTCATATACACTACCTTAAAGAGCGAAATGATGCGGTGCTTCTCCAAGTACACCTCCGATTTTGTTTTCGGATTGTCCGTAGAGTGAGTAAAAATCCTACTCTCTGGGTCTGTTTGCTGGTCCGTCTGCATTTCGTAAATGAAGTCCTTCCTGGCAGTAATGGAAACGAAGGTGTTAAAAATACCAAAATTAACCAATTCTGGCAAAATTGAGGACCGGTTCTCTGATATAGAATGCCCCCTGAAACACCCGGTCAGGACGCCGACATGTATTCTAGCCCGCCAGGAAGCGACGGAGGGCTGAAAAAATAACCAGGAAATTTAAGACCAATGGAGTGGTCTTTCCCGTTGGGCAGAAATTTTCAAGTTAGCTTGCACTGCCGTGTCTCAGTTTTCAGACCACTTCCAGTTGATAAAGTGTAACCAACTCACATTCTCTTCCAAGCGGGCTAGAAAGTAGGAGGAATTTCCTTCATTACTTAACATGCATAACTCTCCATGCACGAAAGTATGAATTAGGGACGCAGCTGCGCCTACTTAATGATAATATTCACTCATGTGTGTCCTGTCCATCGAGCGCCGCATCCAATCGACCAAGAGTCGCTGACAAGGCGATAGGGGCTAGGAGGTACCATTTCTGGTTTACCTGTCGTCATCGGTATCGTCAGCCAACTTCTGTCGAATGTCACGTCTGCAGAAGCGGAGACCTGAGCCCGGACCGATTATTCAACGAGCACTAAGTCAAACGGGTCCCGGACATGCCAGCCCGTCGACTGCGATTGGAAAACTTAAGTAACAGTAAAGTAGTTTTCATCGGTCAATTTTGTTTGCACGGTGGAGCGCGGACTGATCCACTTTGCCACCAAACCCTCACATTTGTCCGTACAGCGACGACAAGTCACTTTTTATTTTGACCCAAGTGTGGGATATTCGGCGACCTTGGTGGGATTCGGACCCACGACAGCAAGGGAGGGCTTTAGTACTGCCAACGCACTAGCCACCTGAGCCACTGTGTCAGGTTTGATGGATTCCAGACGTTGCAGTAGGTTGGGCGGGTAACTCGACCCAAAATGTGATTAAATTCGCGTCGTCCGGCGGGGCCTCCTATCTCAGGTGGTTATAGCGTTGGCTGCACTAAAGCCTTCCCCTTACTATCGTGGGTTCGAATCCCAACGAGACGCCGAGTTTTTCACAGTTGGGTCAATATGAAACTGATTTAAACAACGAACCATATTAGTAAGGCTACAGAGGGAATTATTTACCAAACAAAAGTGTTTACTTATAAGCCTCCATACTATTCAGTAAGAAACCAATAAGATCTGACCTGAGAACGATAAAGGGTCACTTTGAAAGACACGGGGAGCGATATGCCGCCTTAATGCTTTTTGGCTGCTTTTGAAATATACTGTATTACTGAAGTCTGGTTTTGACACCTCGACCATGCCTTTTGTCGTCATATCTACTGTTTCTTCTGAATTCGTTTCAGTGGCATGGAAGGGTCGTACATGGCTGAGAAAATAGGAATAAACGGGAAATAAATGCTGTAAGGGCGTGTGGAATTGTTGTGGCAAATATGTACTGAAACTGAGGGATCTATTAAAAATAAAAACCTGATTCAGAATGTAAACTACTGCGTGCATTACACGAAATTAGATGAAGGAAATGAAAAAGTGCCATAACTGATCTGCTCATGTTTATTTTGATTTGAATATTGTGTGTACCAATTTTAATAGGACCTTCAAAAGCCATGACCTTGTAAAGTAAGCTTTCCTCAAAATAATTAAGAGGCAAGACCAGGACCTTCCGTCGGGAAGATGGGATTACAACTCACGTCTCTTTGTGGGATCTCATAGTTCAGGTGGCTAGAGCGCTGGCTGTGCTTAAGCCTCCCCTTGCTGTCGTGGGTTCGATTCCCACCGATGCGCCGAATTTTCCATGGCTGGGTCCAAGTAGATTAATCTTAGCCTACCAAAAGGCCTATTACTGACTAATCATCTATTGAGTAGGCTGTAGTGGCCCTACTCCGCAACGCTGGGCCTCTCGCGAGTGTCTGCACCTGCGCACCAGGCCTGTCTGGCATTCGCCCACTCGGCTTTCCAACTGGCCAATCAGATTCAAGACCTTAAATATACGGATCTACTCCAAGTTCGCAGTTAAGTTCGAAGGCAATTAAAAAGCTACAGTTTCTAACTTGGAGTATCTCCCATAAAGCAGACAGGGGATGCTGGGGGACCCACTGACGAGCCGAACCCCTCGCAGCTGTGTCATGCAGCAGCAGGATATCGGCGAAACACGCGTGTATGGGGTTTTTGGCTAGTACCTGTGCTCACCCTAAAGTATACTACTTGCTGCCTGTAGGCAGTTAATGAATATTACGCGGTTATCCACTGTGGTTGATGGATTTCGGTCCAAATATTCATACACAAAAACTGAGGTCTGAGCCTATAGACCTTAAATATACTGATCTACTCCAAGTTCGCAGTTAATTTCCAAGGAAGTTAAAAAGCTAGGAGTCCGACGTGTCCTGGCTTAAGACGCTGTGATGCATTCCCTCGCAGACTTGGGACGCCGCTCACCCGGCGCTGAATGTGCCCACGTCCGGCTGTCAACTACCCCAGTTATTCTGTACAGAGTATACGATTCTCTTCACTGGCGACCGCCTTCTCTTTCCATTCGGTACCAAGCCTGAAGGTCGTGGAAGCCAGGGTCTTTCACTTTCAGCCTAGCCTGCCGCAATAAGACTTCCGAGAAAGCAGGAGATACGACCTGTTCTGCGTCCCAATAGTAATGGCAGTTTATCAAATAATGGGTAAAATAAGACCGAGGTCGAGACCTAGCTCCGACGCACGCATAAGTGCAGCCGACACTACTGACTCTCTCCCACTCCCTCTCTTAAGCGTGGCCAATGTTTCCAGAGGCAGTAACTTCGGGTTTTGTGCACAACGAATTCCTCTGGGTCTCCTTCCTCCTGCAAGAGCGGGGAGGTCGTTGGACTGATGATTGTGGTGTCCATGGCGTGACCACAAGTCCAGCTGCTACGTACGCATGTCAAAACAGGACTGAGTAAGCACACCTGCCAACTTTATCGGTCGGCCATGATAGCACTGAAATAAGTTCGGATAGGGATTACGAGAGATGAAGTAGATAATTAGCTCCATTTCGGACAGATGGACAGTACCATTTGAGGGACGGCCGTCTACGAAATCACCATCGGTTGTCCTCGACTATTTGTAAATTCTCACATTCCAACTGTGGTCCGCAAGCCGAGGCTGCAATGTTTTTGGAGTTATCGAACTGTCCAGCCTCCCCTAGTCTGCCAGCATGTGAGATTCGGGTTCTGCGGTCATAGCTCAAGACATATTTTACCGTAACTTTATCTACTCAAACCCTCGGTTTTTGTGCAGCCTTGAGGAGAGACCATGAGGAGACCAGAGTCAACAGAACACATCAGAACAGAACACATCGTCCAAATTTTATTTACTTGGTGATCTCTCCCTAACACCTGTTACTACAGACGAATACAAGTAGACAAAACAGCAAGCTGTCTTCAGCCCTGTACCGCCGATGGGGATAATTCTGTGAAATGAGGATCCCCCGAGTACTACATTGGTTCTGTAAACCAAACTTGTGAGAAGCGACAAATGTATCTGAGTTTCTTAAGGGAGTTCTCAAGTAGGAGAGCATTTAGCATTAGCAAGTTGGACGATCTTTACTGCGGCAAGGGGCCGTGGCAGCAATTGTAGCATTTTAATCTCCTCAGAAATTAATGCGCAAGTCTGAAGTTAATATTTCAAAATCAATTTTTAGAGGATCGCTCTGGAAGTTGATGTAAATATGTATATATAGACCGAAATCCATCAGCTTCAGCAGGTGAGGTGACTAACTGATGAGTCGAACTCCTCGCAGGTATATCATAAAGCGACAGAATATTGCAGAAACACGTGTCTGAGTTTTTAATTATAACATGTACTGCCGCCTACAGTGAGTATCGATCTCATGAAATGTTGCCTGAAATTCTGAAATGCGTTTCCTGTTAGGAAGGATTACTTAGGCGGGGTTGTAATACTGACTATATTGCTACAGAATCCTATTATATTTCGGGTTTGGCAAGATGTCAGCCTTGGAATGCATTGCTTTTTAATCTCCTGTAGAAAGCTTTTTTGGCAAAAAATGACTACCTACGTTGCGTGCATTTTTGCATTGATTTTTGATGGTCTTGTAAATTCAAATATATTTCATAGAAAACATGGACAAAAATATGCTTTCTTTCACTCGTTTGATGGAGAATCAAGCCGTCTTTATATTTTGTACTCGAAAAAGTAGTATAATTAGGTTTTAAAAAAGTTTTCAATTATGGGATTTTTTAAGATCGCGCAATGTCCATTCATACAGCATCGTAACTGTACGTTTACCACTGCTTCTCATGAAATATACAATACTGTCCGCATCCATTGGAAATTTCATGGATTCTATATGGCATCTTTTTAAAAGCATAGAAAAACATGTTATTTTCCTTACACGGAACGCCTGCAGCTTGTGGACTTAAATCGCTAAGCGCTATTGCAACGACTGATCAGGTTCCAAATTATTTGGGACTTCGAAAACTTTTTAAAAACCTAATTATTCTTCCTTTTCGAGCACAAAATATAAAGACGGCTTGATTCTCCATCAAACGAGTGAAAGAAAGCATATTTTTGTCCATGTTTTCTATGAAATATATTTGAATTTACAAGACCATCAAAAATCAATCCAAAAATGCACGCTACGTAAGTAGTCATTTTTTGCCAAAAAGGTTTCTACAGGAGATTAAAAAGCAAGGCATTCAAAGGCTGGCATCTTGCCAAACCCGATATATAATAGGATTCTGTAGCAAGATAATCGGTATTACAACCCCGCCTAAGTAATCCTTCCTAGCAGGAAACGCATTTCAGAATTTCAGGCAGCATTTCATGAGATCGGTCAGACAAGTAACAACAATCGCTCTATCAAGCAGAGTGCCAGCCACTGAGGTCGGTAGCCAGGGTGCGAGGCGCAGGTGTACGCCTGGGTTTTGTCCGTCTGCAATCAATCAGCTAAGGGAGCCGCATCATCGACTAGCGTCGAGCTGTCGCCACGCCAGGCCCAGAACACGCTAGGCGCAAGCAACCTGCTGACGGAGGGCGTACGATGACCTGCAGGTGGCATAGGCAAACGGCCGCGTCACAACCACGACAACTGACTGCAGCCTCTGACTGACCTCAAAATTGAAACGTGCATAGCTCTTTGGACAGTCAACAATGGTTGATAATCGTCCCAAATCCGACATCATATCCTGCCAGTACCGGTTTAATCTGGACCTCATTGCCCATGGAGCCTGACGACGCAGCGTTCGCAAATTTTGGTCTTCTGTGATCCGCCTTTGCCACACACACCAAGCACCAAATGAATGGTGTTGAGCGATATCCAGTCCTTGGGTATGTGTCCTCTGTGGCTCAGGTGCGTAAGCCACTCCGAAATGGGACCCATTACTCATTCACGCAGGACAACTGAATTGTGTGGATTTCAAGAAGAGAAAGGCGTCTGGAGACATTTTAGTGATGGCGACTGGATGATTCCCTTTAACGAAGCTTGCCGAGACCGAATATTTAGCGTGAGAGGCAAATTACAAACGACTTGAGACGCAAGCCTAGTCTCGCTCGCACAAGTGCGGGGTCTGAGCTGCGTTCGATGCCCATAATGGCTGCATGAATTAGGCAACAGCCGACAACAGCAGCTACCAGGCATCTGGCCACCAAAATGAGGTCAGTCTGTTTAGTAATCCGGCAACTTGAACGTTCATCTGGGTACGTGGACTCAGCATAAGCCATAACCAACTTACCGTTACTGGCGTTACAACAGTCATCGGCATTATCGCATTAATTACCTCCAGTGGTCTTTCTAAAAAAATGGCGGGTAACTTGCGTCAGCTTTAGTTGTCTGCGTGTTCCAGTCCCCAAGAAGATCTCATGTCCCTGGAATCAATAGACAACAGAACTCTGCTGTAGAACACACCTTTTCCATTGTCAATCCTGAAAGGTGATGACAACGTAACAACAACTGTTTAATGACCTTAGTCCGGGCGCCTGTTCTAACGCTGCGAGTAATTTCATGTGCGCGCCAGTGGCAGTCCGGTTTTAGGCCAATCAGGGATGTCCAAACCAACGAATCATCTTCAAGGTCGGCTCGGGTGTGCTCTCGCTCAAGGCGCTGTTACGCCTCCCATGTTCTCACCGCGCGGAGCGTGTTCTCTCGTCCGACTGCCAACTTCTTCAACCGGCTCTCCAATCTTTCTGCGGTTAATAGCCTCGGCGCCGAACACAGACAAAAAAAACAATTTGCATCGAGAGGCCGCCTGCGGCGACTGCTTCCAGAGCCTTGTATATGCAATGTCTCAGTAGTAAAGGTTATTCAAACCAATCCGTATGCCCAGACTTCTGCTTTGGGAACCTTTTTCTTGCTGACCGTGTCGGTCGCCGTGCGCAATCTCATCACCTGTCGGCTGAATAGCTCGGACCGGTAATTGGTGCAGGGAAGGGGAAGAGAGACTGAAGTCCATACTGGATCTTACGCGCTCTAACCTATCACAACGGGCTTAAATTCATGGCTTGCAGGGCCGCCAGCTGACAAGGCATCTCAACCCTCTTTTCAAACGAAAGTTCGGTCGTAGTGACCTCTTCTTAACGTGACCTTAGTGATAGCCTTCACTTCTGTGAGGCACGAAACCGTTCGTGGCATGCAGTGGATGCTGAATTCACGTCAGGACAGAGAAGGAAAGATGTGGATGTGACGTAAGTCTGCTTTGCCACGATAAACCGTGCTCCCGAACACATACGACTCGGTCGGTACATATATCTATCGATTGTATGGTCTACCGAAGATCCTTTATGACGGTCCGCCACTTCGTCCGATTTTCGTCATGCGTACCTCTTCGAAGTGATCGGCAGTGGAACTCAGGCCCGTACAGATTCAACTAGCATCATCTAGCTATCGGCATATCTCAGAATTTATCGACGACTTTAAACACCTGAACCTAAACGGAATGCTGGTTTTTCGTTAGACGTCTCATCGCTCTTCACGAACGTCCCGGTCCCAGTGGCAGTAGATTACATCTGAAAATACCTATCTGCAGATCGGTAGACAATACGTATATCGATAAACGCACTCAAGGAACTATTACTAGGATGCGCACTAAAGATGCAGTTCATTTTTGACAGCCAACTATGTAGACAAATAGATAACCTTCCTTTGGGCTCGCCACTTGGTCCCCTTTTAGCTGGTGTCCTCACGGGCAAGTTGGAGTTATTTAAACTTAAGGGGCTGATTAATAGCGTGGGACCGCAGAAACCAATATAGCTGCTCTTTAAGATGTTGTAGATCAGATACATTCATCGGTCAAATTTATATTAGATGTGGAAACGGCAGGTTCGTTTCCTTTCTTATACGTCCTTCTAACCAGAAGAGCTGACGGTAACGTTCGAAGGAGCGTCTGCCAGAAGAGTTCGGATACTATTCTTGACCGACCCTGCTTTACGCGGAGAACGTAAGTATAAGTTTTCAGCTCAGATTCCCTCCATGGAGCAAGTCATATTGGCTTCACGAGTCGGCGCCTATCCAAAAGATCGTAGGAACGCCTCCCGGCATGGTTTAGAAGAACTGAAATTAAGGACGCACATTTCTGATTTCGGGCATCGTGCGGACGCCAGCGAAACCTTTCGTTTGATTCACAAGGTCTCACTGAACTACTCTATGCCAGTGAGCCAGCTTCTGCCAAGGGTAACAGGAGCGACTGATCCCAGGTTACAGAATTCGGTCTTGTTCGCGCAGAAGAACCTAGTGAAAGCTCCGCGTCGGCCATGGCCAAAGGTCGATGAAATGCATGCACATCTCCGCATCCTCCCCCCTTCCCCTGAAACCGCTCTAACTAACTGTACTGTATACTACCCGTGCCGTTTAAATAGTACGTTATGGACGCACGTTCAGACCTCCTTCGTGCTGACTGATCACCCTTCAGCCTATGACATTTCCGCCACGGCATATACCCCGCTGTGTCTCCGAAGACTCCCCACTTGTGCTGTCACCCGTGCTCAGCAAACGTCCTGACTCCAGACAGTCTTTTATTTGGCATACATGCCACTAACCTTTACCGCCTCTTAATTAACTACCTCTCATTTTCTTCCCCCTTTCCCTATTTCCAAACCACACTTGTATGAAAAGATCAACTGTAGTAGATCTGTCTTATCACACATGTCCATTATGTATCCTCTTGTCTTGTAAATATAGTGGCCGGGCGAGAATTTATCGAAAGTATACTTATACTTTCTAAATTGTCTACCGGACAAACACATTCACTCGGATGCATGCACATCGTGGGCCAGTGGTGGTCATCGTCACTTGCGATGGTCAAATAACCGTAGTTTCACATGCTGACACCGACAGCTTTCGTGCCTGATTCAGACATCCAGGCTTCAGACAGCTAGGAATTGCGGCTGACGCCCTAATCAGGAGGAGGGTCCACAGCGCCGATTCTTGTGTGCTTTGTTTTTTGAGAATGCATAGCTTACACCTGGCAACAGGGTTTTCCTCTCTTTTGTGAACAATCTTAGTCCCCATACCTGACGTCCAACCCATTGGTGGAGGTGCAGACTCATTGGTTCCTGCGGAGGCCACAGGACAGGCGGGGTGCTCTGCCCCGCCCGATGTACGGGAGGAACTCAGATCCGTAAGGAGACGACGATGGGCGAAACCTCAATAGATGACGGACAGTATTCGTGCGCGATAATATCCGCTTTGAGTTATGACCTTTTTGCAATCCACTGATCGGCTAGATCTGTGTTCTACCAGGACTGAATGTATGGCACCAGCAGGCTTAGGGTGTACTCAGTCGTCACGTTGACGGGCGCACTTTAATCTCGTTGGCTCTAACTTAGCCCGGTCAACCATCCGCAGACCTTGTATGGGTCAAGTAGCCTACAAGCAGACTAACATATAAGTCCCGTCTTCTCGAGATTCCACTTTTTCCGGTCCTGTCTCGTACCTCCATTTTAAAAATTAAACACTCGTCTGCAATTAAAATCATTGGGACTTTAAGCTCCCCCGAAAACGGACTGCTAAGCGTTAGGAAGGACAAATCCTTTTTATGTACGTGACAATCGAATGGAGTTTCCAGTTAAAAGACCAATTACTACCGCACTAATTCCGCCAGAGGAGAAAGAGGCATGGTTTAGACGAAATGTGCTTGCAAAGTGAATTTATCAAACCTAACTAGTCCATACTGGATGCTGAAGATCCTGATAGGCAAGTACATGGGTGTTTTAAAACCCACGCCATTTTCCCCACTAACTTCCGGTAGCCACAAATTACCCCAAATTTATGAGGATTCATTGCTGTTGTGGAAGTTCCTACTGTCCCTTAAACGTCAAACGTATTTTACCACGTGATCACTGAACATTAAAACTATGGAAACCGACGCCTACTCGACAAGGCTGGCTGCCCATTTTTTTCTGTTCTGCTGTCAAAACTTTGAACTCATGAAGGATGTGTCATACTTTTAATTGCCGTGATGCTAGTTGGGAAACTGCGTGGTCTGGCATTCTATTCGCCCATCACTTAAATGTTTCGGTACTTTAAATGTAGGCATATCAGCTTGTCGAGAATACAAATTTTAAACTTATCGTGTCAACCGTAAATTTGGCTGTACAGCTGGCTAAGTAGTGGTTTTCTACCTAAAATCCACAAAGTGCAGATATAAAGGCTTTGAGTACGGGACTGTATAAAAAGATCGTCAGATGGACAACAACTCCGGCAGATAATTAGGAATGCATGTAAATGCCTGAGGTTAGCCAGTATGAAAGGCTGGGATGATTAAGCATTAAAGGCCCCTCATAACTAAACACACTGACCTGCGTGGGCTGTGTGAAAGTGCTTTTGAATCCACACCTGAGATTTCTGGTGTGCAAGTCTAGATAAAAGACCGTGTCACCTTGGCGTGATGGTTGCCAGGCAACGAGCTCTGGGTCTCAATACAGATATTCGGTGGGACGAATTTGTTCACTCATGCACCAACACTTCGGTCATAAGGGGCCATATATTTGCTATGGCAGGAGGCTTACTATGCAAATTAGCTGACTGCCAATTAACATTTAGACTAACCGACTGTCGAGTAGTGAATATATCTCACTTTTTATTTTTAATTTGGAGCTGTATTGTAAATCCGCAGAAGTCTGGACGAAATGGCCAGAATTAATGGAAAAAGACTGAATATTAGTCGGGTTAGCTTGGTAAGTTAAGAAGGTGGATGTTGCATGCAAAAAGACTGCGGACGTTTGACAAGTACGAACTGTATACAGTTGGCGCAGGTGAATATTTTGACCGCAGAGGTGTTGCTGGTTATAAAGAATGAAAAAAATCCAATTTTCAACTCACGAATTAAGCTGCCAAAGTTCAGGTTGCAAGCGGTTCAAAATTTGAAGCATTTTGTCCCCGGTACGAAGCTGAAGTAGGCAAGAACAGCAGGATTTATTGGCACCAAAAAATTTCGCGACTGCTCTTCAGCTGCTTCCTGTCGCTTCATAAGAGGTGCCAATAAATCCTGCTGTTCTTGCCTACTTCAGCAAGCGGTTCAGTCACAAAATGGGAAAACTGGCGGTTCACTTGCTTCTCGCATATCAGCACTCAGGTAGAGAAACCGCTCACATTTTTTTCATTGCCCCAGTTCCTAGCACCCAACACGATAGTGCGTGAAAAGAATTTGGGATTCGAGGGAAAATTAAGATGGATGCAAGCAATCTGGGTAGTAATTACTACCCAGCTTGCTTGCATCCATCAGTGTGCAAGCTTAAGCTTGCTCACTGTGCGTCGAAACTCGTGAATCGTTGACCAAAATTTTCGGTATCTTTTCTGTTTGAAAAGAGTCCTTGAACGCGGTTACAAGGCCGATCCTCTCGAACAATAATTCCAAATCTTAGTCCTACATGTTAGCTTGCGGGTTTTTGTATAAGCTTCTTTCCAGCCATCTACCAGCGCATGCGCTGTAGTTTTTATTACCTCTCAAGGACTATATAACCTCAAGAACGTTAGAAAGTGCCGGTATTCAAAACATTTACTCGATATACGCAATCCACACGAAATTTCGTTTTTTGAATTTTTCGTCTTAAGAATAGGAGTATTTCGGCTAAAAAATCGATAAATGTGAGATGACTCGCGACAACCGCACGAACATTCATTTGAAATAGAACAGGTCGACCATCTATTTCGGTGAGGTCCACCGTATGTCTCGAAGCCGAAGTAGTAGTAGTTCTACTACGTATCTTCTAGCCTTCATTAGTAACTGCAGAAATAATGGTAGGAGTATTTGCTATTACTGTGGTAGCCGTAGTGGTGGCAGACGTGGTGGTAATAACAGTAGTGCTATTATTAGTAGCCGTAGCAACCTTAGTGGTGGTAATGGTAGCACTAGTAGTAATAGTAGCAGTAGTAGTAGTAGTAGTAGTAGTAGTAGTAGTAATAGTAACACTAAAAATTAAAGTAGTAGGTGCTACAATCGTGACAAGACCTTTATGGAAGCAGCAGTGCCATCCGTAAAGTTGTTGTCCCACTAGTAGTCGTACTACGGTCATTGACGCTCACAGCATAGATTGCGGTAGTAATTCAGACAGTGCGTGAATGATTCGGGCAGCAGAGTTGTACTTAGGTTTGCATTAGTGAAGGCAGTAACTTTGCCAGTAATAACAGGCAAAATAGGCATACTGGCTTATGCAATACTCCAACTACTAATCACAATACAGGGAATTTCCCGTAGTATATGTCGGCGTAGACGAATTGTAATTATTTCCCGGTCTTATCCGCCGTATACATAGAAAGATCGACTATAAGTACGGTAGTCGTAACATTTGTGTTATTAGAAGTGACAGTACTATTGTAAGAGTACCAGTTTATGCAGTACTGCTGTTTTCCGCTGTACTACTAGTCATTGCAGCAGTCTTAGTGGTTGTCGTGTTAGTAGTACAGTAGGCGGTCTAACTCATGAAATGTCAGCTGAAATTCCGAAATGCGTTTTCGTTTCGAAAAGATTAATTAAGTAGGTTTGTAAAACTAATTAGTCTGCAGTATAAGTCTATAATCAATTACCTCAGGATGCCGGCTTTTGAACGAACTTCGTTCCGACTGCATGCAAAAACTATACTCTGTAAAAAATACTACTTAAGTAGCATGCATTTTTTTCACTGATTTTAGATACCTCTAAAAGTCTAACTATAGTTCATGGAAAACATGCATAAAAAATATTCATTCTTCCATTCATTCGGTAGAAAATTACGTTTTCTTTCAAGTTTATACTCGGAGGAAGGGTATTATTTGGTTTTTAAAAACGTTTCCAATTCCCGAATAATTTTGAACCCGCTCTGCCGTCACACTTACATTCAGGGTTTTCAGACTACAAGCCATGTATTTTCCGCGTACGGAAAACCACACATTTTTCTACGGTATTAAGAGGAGACCGTATGGGGTTCATAAAATTTAGCACTGGACTTGATCCATATTGTAAACTTTACAAGCCACATCGGTAAATACAGAGACATAACGTTTTATGAACGGCCATTTCACGGTATTTAATAGTCTCACAATTAGAAACTTTTTTAAAACGGAATTATGTCCCTCCTTCGAATATAAAATTGAAAGAAGACGTGATTTTCTACCGAATGAGCAAAAGAAGGAATACTTTTATGCATGTTTTCCATGAACTATAATTGAACTTTTAGGGGCATCGAAAATCAATGAGAAAAATGCATGCTACTTAAGCAGTCATTTTTTACAGAGTATAGTTTTTGCATGCAGTCGGAAAGAAGTTCGTTCGAAAGCTGGCATTCTGAGGTAACGGAATAATTATAGAATTATACTACAGGCAGATTAATTGTATAACCCTGCTTAATTAATCTTTTTGAAACGGAAACGCATTTCGGAATTTGAGTTGACATTTCATGAGCTGGCCCACCTACTGCAGATGCGCCGGTATCATTACTCGCAGTATTACAAGCAATAGCCTTTGGGAGTTCTAGTAGTAGTAGTAGTAGTAGTAGTAGTAGTAGTAGTAGTAGTAGTAGTAGTAGTAGTAGTAGTAGTAGTAGTCTATTTTGACTCTCAGTGGTTGCATATCTTGATGCTGGATGCGGTTGGTTGATGATGGCTAGTAAGCCAAAAAATATTCATTCTAGTTACCTTGTATTTGTCGGTTATGTTATTCTGCCCACAGTATGCTTTGCTGCGCCTCTATTGACCGGACTGGAGGGAGAGCCTCCACGCACTGCGGGGAAACCGCGCTTCTTAAGTCGATCCCTGAGCGCCTCACCACCATTGTCCATTTACCCGATCGTAGCCGACAGGGCAACGAGCTCCTGCATACACGGTTACGGCGTTGGACTTCTACGCAGCAGATAGCGCGTGTTGCAGGGCCTGGAGATTGCCTTTGCTGGTTGAACACGGTTAAAAAGCCCGAAATGGACATTCAAGTCTACCTTGTCGTCGCTGGTTGTGTTATCCTGGTTATAGTGGAGGTTGATGCACCACAGCGGTCCTACTTGCAGTATTTCTAACAGCAGTGTCTGTACTGTTTGCTTTTGTAACCGTGTCCGCAGTATTACCCGCCGTAAGAGAACTATCAGTAGATGTCCTAGCTCATGCAATGTTGACTGACATTCTGCAAAGATTACTTATTTATGGTTGTCAAATTAATTGTCGTGTTGCATACTGTTAACATATCCCGGCCACTTCCTGATGCTGGCTTACGAGCGAGCTCCTAATCAACTAAATGCACAAACGACATTCCGAAAAAAAACTTTGTGCTCACATAGCATGACTTATTCCCATTGATTTTTTATGCCCTTTTATATTCAAATAAACTTTATATAAAACATGCTTAGAAGTATTCGTCCTTTTAGTAATTTGGTAGCAAATTACGTGTCCTTCAAATTTTATACTCTAAGAAAGAGTATCTTTAGATGTTAAAGGCCTTAACCAATTCCTGACTACTTCCGGCACCGGCCCTCCGTTACACCTCCACTTAGGGTTTCCGAGCGACAAGCTGCATATTTTTCGTGCAAGCAAGATCATATATTTCTGTATGTGATCAAAAAGAGGGTATATAGGACTCATACTTTTATAACGTTTGTGGACAGCTGCGTATACTTCATAACGCGGCATTAACAAGCGTGCCACTGCGAGTCTGCGTAACTTGATGTTTAACGGTTTTGAAAAATCTCGCGAATAGAAACTTCTTGAAAACGGAAAGATATCTTTTTTCAAGTATATCATTTTAAAAAGATTTATTTTGCTACCAATTTACTAAAAGAGGGAATGAGCTTATGTGTATTCTCTGTAAAAAGTATATTCGAAATAAAAAGGTCATCGAAAGTCAAGGACAAATTCATACCAACTAAGTAGTAATTTTATACGGAATACATTTTTCACAGGCGGTTAATAAGGAGCTCTTTTGAAAGTCGGCATCCTCATGTGACTGGGATACCTTGATATTATGCGACATGACAATTACCATGACGACCCGACGTAGGCATTCTTTCGAATTGGTAACGCATTTCGGAATTTCGGCCAACATTTCATAAGAAAGCACATCTGCTGCGAGTAAGGGCGGTGTTAGTACTGACTGACATAGTAGTAATAAAAAATTACAATTGTATTTGATGTCAGTTCACGGGCATTGTCAAGGACTAATAAAGCCTTCATCCGGCTAGCAGCGAAAAATCTTTCTGAGGAATTAAATATGGATGGTATTTTTTTCATAGGTTGGATGTTGTAGGAGCAAAAACCGCCACTCGCGAGATGACAGCCGTCCAAAAACGTAATGGCAAAGACTGCATCAGATGTTTTCGGACTCCGTTCTTTTCATGAAATTGGGACTGCACCGAACAGAGGGCATTTGAAAACCATTGTTCGCTGTCAGCTGAAGAAGTTGTCCGTAGTCTTGCGGGCTGTAGATCCAGCACCATTTCGCACAGGATGAAACCGGGCAAGGGGATCAGAGATCACTTACTCCATCACTATAGAAGATTAATTCGGTGCGTTCAGTACCCAAAATCGTGGGTTGTTCTAACTGTAAAAACGAGCAATAGTTCTCTCAAACAAAGGATAATTCTGTAGACTTCTTATATTCCTGGGTAACTTGTTCTAGATCACATTTGTGTTCACAGAAACGAACCGATGATATTTAACGGTAGATGCCAGAGGAAGGAAAAAAGATCTCGCGGTGACTGTTACATCGGGGGTGGTAAAGATGTTTTAAAATAGTAAGCGGATTAAAAGTGTGACCGACCAAAAGCTTAAACAGTAAAAATAATTCCGAGGTTAAAACTACTTTGTTAAAAAAATACTGGATAGATTCTATCTTATTCCGCTCAGTAGCACGCAGAAAGCTAAATAAAAACGAGCAATATTCCCGACCAGGTCCAGCGTTCACTTCATAAATGTTCATTCTAAAATTTCTAGGTTTACATTTTTGTAGGGTAAACCCGGTCGTTCTGCGTGCTTTGGAGACAACCAGGGAGCATTGTTCCAAAGATTAGGACTCTTAGCGTATGACACACCCACATTCGTAATGACTTCAGGCACATTTATGTCGTGATCGTCAATGCTCTGTTTAGGCTGGTGGTCGTCGCCAACCACCATAATCGAGCATTTACATACATAAGCGGGCGGATTGCGGCATCGTGCTCGAACTCTCAAGAAGCGACCTATGGACCTGTGCCCCGGAGTGCTGCACATGGCGCCATTCTCTTTCTTGACATATATTTCTCAAGAAAGAGAATGGCGCCATGTGCAGCACTCCGGGGCACAGGTCCATAGGTCGCTTCTTGAGAGTTCGAGTACGATGCCGCAATCCGCCCGCTTATGGGGACATACAACTTTCAAATCATCGGTATACATGAAAGGCCTACCATTCCGAAATAAACCTCCTCCATCATAGACAAAAGGGTAAAAATTATGACGGGCAAGCACACTAATTTGACCGACTCCGTGGCTCACTCATGTGAGGTTGGAGACAGCTTTGGAAATCTTAACCCGCTGTAAGCGAGCACCCAGGTGGGAGGATATCAGATTCGAAAGTCAACAACCTACCCCAAAAGGAGACAGTTTCGAAAGAGGGAGAGCATCGTCCAGACGATCGAAAGCCTTAGTGAAATCTAAATAGACTGTGTATTGTCCGAACCATTTTCCCTGTTGGAGAACGCAATCCAAGAAAGAGAGACGGCAGGAGTCACAAGACCGAGCTTTGAGAAATCCATGCTGAGCAGCATTCGGTAGGTTATTCTCTGCTAAGAGGCAAACCATCTTACCTTTGCTCAACGTCATTAAGATTTTCTAAACTGCCGGGAGGGTGTTCGTTCGCCAAAAGTCACCAAACGACGTAGATTGGCCATGCTTGGATATAGGAAAAAAGTGTGTTTGCTTTGATGAAGTGGGGTGTGTTTCACGTTCGAGAGCATGATTAAACATCTTGCACAGGACGGACGGGAGATCCTCATATGTGTCCGCCCTTAAAGCGTAAACTAGGAAACCATCGGGTCTTGAGCTACGAGACTGGCGAAAATGCCGAATCGCAACAGTCACGTCCCAGAGGCTGGAAAATGGTGCCTGTCCACGCCTGGATGCTCGAAACCGGAGCGGTCCAGTTTAAAATAAACGTTTTGAACAGTAAAACCATGAAACAATAAGAGGTCAACTTGCCGTCCGCTATACGACTTTAAAAAACGTCTTGGAGGATGCTATACTGCGTTTTTTAAGATCTCTTGCTTTTCGATAAAAGAGTTTGACAATGTTTATGAAGAGGTTTTCGGCGAAGTGGACCTTTTCGATTAGCCGTTTTTCTTACGACGACCTATTAGCCTGCTCAAAATTATGACAAATCAAAGCCAAACAGATACGTCGTTTCGCAGATGGAGCCGACGAGAGGGTTTCTGTTACTTACGGGAAAAGGGTAGGGGAACGAAAACTTCATCGCCGTCATTAATTTTTCCTCACGGGGGATACACGAGAAATATGTGGATCCAGAACTTCGTACAATTCGGCTAGGCCAACACTTGCATCCGCAACTTAGACTGCAGTCAGTCCAGTCGTATTAATTAGGATGTGTTAACGATTCGGTCGAACGGGCTGACAGGAAATCAAAGAAGAGGGTACATTTCGGGACATATTATTGTCAGCCTCGAGTTCTAACGCAGAAACACCTCTGTCGGGACCCTAGCCCCCAAGTGGGCCTAGGGATGACACCGATAAAGGCATGGAACCTCTACAGAAAATTAGGTCAAGAATGCTCGATCCTCGGGTAGAACAATCGACTATCCGACTGCATATGCCAGCATCCCCAGCCCCTAGAAAGTTTTTGAAATTTCTGGGGCCGAGAGGCGCAAACTAACGGACTACAGGAAAATTGAGGTAACCCGCAACCAAGTGATGCTTAGACTTTGAGTCTGCCGCGGCATGACATGCCTAATAGACAGCAACTGAAATCTTCATTGGCGTTAGGTAAGCGATGGACACAACCAATGAGTAGAGGGTACTTATTTTTTAAGGTAAGTTAAAGCCAGCAACTACTTTCTATCGCGACACAGTGCTGGATGTCCAGCTGTCGAAACGCAAGGGTTAGCTTACCGTAAATGCAGCTACCCCCCTCCTACGACTGGTTGATGATCAATTCGAATGCAAGCATAACCCACTGGACAGAGAGTTCTCAGTCGGGTATGTAAGATAACGACCGTGTTACTGCTGGTGGTTCTTATTACTACCAATAGCCGTCGCAAGACCAGTACTAATATTTGCATCGGTGATGGCATCAGGCCCATTTGCAGTAGCCCTAGTATTGCAATGGGGTACCGGCAGCAGTGGGTGAGTTGGTAAAATTAATAGTATTAGCGGAGTACTACCACCGTCAATAGCGCTATTAATAATTTTCATTGCAGCGGACCCCGCTGCCGAACTTGTCATAGTAAAATTAATGTTGAAGGTAAGTAGTTGTTGTCGTCTCTTTGGTAGTAGTTTGCACCCGTACGCGTTGGTAAATGTGCCTCGGTGTTCCTTCCAAGGCCGTGCATGCGATGTCGGAGTTTCGCAGCGTCAGGACATTGGGTGCTTTTCGTACCTCTCAGTACAAGCCTTTGCAAACCTACATGGACGAAGGGTAGTACCATTGTTATCTTTATGCATGTCAGACTTCGTAGTTTAAAGTAACTACTCCCCGAGCACCAGCCCCGCCCATTCCCGCCTAGCCCCCTCAAAAATGACGTGCTAGAGGCGGCTACAAAGGGGCTTGGCGAGGCTGTGGAAGGGGCTGTGGCGGGACATTCTACGCGAC